TGACTTGGTCAAGCCAAATTTCTGTCTTTGGTGCAGCAACATTTGGGGAGAATGAAGTCTAAATGCTACAGGACTGTTCCTCAGGAAAATCAGCACATTCATATTCCCTCCACACAAGTATATCACTCAGCAGATGGAGGCTTAAAGGTGCTTGTCTGTTACTTCACTGCTGATTTAGGGTTTTCTCTGCAGATTTAATCGAATGAGAAAATTCATCGTCAACCTTATGACATTGTTCTGTGAAATGTCATATATACAAAGTGCAGAAAATCAGCAGGGAGCATTTAATACAACAGTCACTAATTGCCAATAAGCTGTTTACCTAAAAAAAAAAAAATTCATTTATGCATAAATCAATCACGCTGAATTATGGAAAATGCTTTTAAATATTTACAGATACATGTAAAATAGAACAAAAAGCCTTTTTACACGTATATTACTTTCTCATAGGTGCTCTCCCTCCCCGAGTAGCCTGAATATGTCATTTGCTTTTAAATTGCATTATCATGCAAAATGAAGCAGAAATTTGATGAAACTCAGATGGATTCACCTGAGTTAATGGAATATGGGTTTAAGAGGGAACTAATTATCCTAGTTTAGCAGGGAGTGAATGTATTTCTTTGGAAGGCCTGATTTTGAATGTAAACATTAATGGCCTCCTTGATTAGCATAAGAATGGTGTGTTATTGTCCTGCTCACTCTGCATCCTATTGGATATGCATCTGTGCTGCTCTAGACACAGATACACATACACACAGCCCACAAGCTTTAACACCCTTATTACCTGGCTTATCTACTAACGATGCCATTTTTGTTTTGATTGTTTGTTAATCCATAAAATTCATTTCTCCAATCAAATTACAGTTTTAAGGCCCAGTGACATTAATGGCCGCTTCTCCCTCTCTCTGTGTTTTTTTTTTTTTCATTTCAGGGGCCAAGACAGAAACAAACAAACAAAATCAAGCTCTAACTGTTGAGGTGAAGGATGATGTTTAATATAAGCACAACTGAAGAAGGTGAGTCATTGTGATGCTCTTCTTCTTTGGTGTTCCTGCTCTTTGGGAACTGTTTATCTCTGAAATGTACCAGAGAAATGGGTCTTTACTGTATAAACAAAGGAGAAACAGAAGGAACGAGAAGGACAGAAAGGGAAGAAGAAAACATGGGACCCAGGTGAAGAGTTAAATTAAGAAAAGGAGGCAATGAGGAGAGTTAAAGGGCAGGTGAGGAAGGGAGGCTTTGACTTGGGGCCTCCTGGGGATGATGACCTTATTTCAAATTCTGGGTGAGGGACTATAGTTAGGCAACTGAGGAGCCCCCCTAAGTCTCAGATAGACACATACACACTGAAACACACTTTCAAGGCTGAGTTGAGGAATAGAGAGCCCCCCTGAAGTCCCGCAGCTCCCTCAAAGGCCAAGCCTGCTGCCACTGTTGTTAGTAAAGCTACACAATAGGTTAAACACACAGTATTCTTCCAAGGTTCAACTTCATATCCTTGGTGGAACAGCAGCAAAGTAGGAACTCAGTTCTTCTTCACCTATCACAGGCGAGGTTGCTACGTTTTATGTTTAGTGGTTAGATTTCTCAGTGTACTGAGACATTTGCATGTCATCTCATTACCTATGAACAAATACAGGTAATTGTCTGGTCAAAGCGTTTACATGATTCACAGTAAGACAACTTCCCCAGTAAGATGAATTTGCCTGATGTGTGATAACCTGGAAAACAAATTAAAAGATTTTTCTTTAAATCTTTGATTTTTTTGTGTGTGTTTTGTAATCTTTTTGTAGTATGTTCATTTACTAATAGAGTACTTTAAATTTTCCTCCACATATATGAAAAACAAAGAAACCACAAATATATTGATTACATGTTAATATAAACAGATGTAACTGTCTGCAGTCTGACAGTCCAGTGTACCACCGACCAAGATTTTTAAGATAGTAAGGATGAGATGTTCTTAAGAGACTGTCCTCATGAAAAAAAAAGAATCTATATGTCTGTATGTGTGCCAGCAGGTTGTTATGACCCAACAGTAATGTCTAATAGTCAGTTGGTCTCTAGCAACCATAGTTATTATGACATGAGCAACGGAGGAAGATTTCTGATGAAGTAGAGCCACAGCAGGAGGAGGGTGGGATGGATGGTTGGGTTAGAGAAAACAGAACTTTCCTGTGTAAAATGTTGTTGTTGTTGTTGTTTTAATCCATGACCATTCCACAACCTTAACTACATGTTTAATATTGTAACCATGATGACAAAGGTCATTTTCACCTAAGCTGTTTTTATACTCGAACTTTATGAAACCGTGGTGATTCCATCATTGTAACTGTGTGTTTCTGACTGTTTCAATGAGACTGAAGGTCTGGTACACTTGCTGGTGGGATATGGAGCTTATAATTGTTACCATGATGACAAATATCAGACAAGTGTGCCACTGGATGGGTCATGTTCTAACGTAGTGACAAACGACATATATCGTCGTTTAGGTTGGAGGACTTTTTGGTCCTTGAAGAGCTCAGAAAAAATGGAAATTTGAGCATCTTGGATCTTGTGGTGAGATTATTAGTGGTGATGTAAATGCAACTGTAAGCTGCAAATCTAATTACACAGTTTTACTTTGGCTCTTCCTATGAGACAAAGCCCATGAGGAGAACTCTCATCTCACCGAGGCTCTCACTTTTCATTCCTCCCATTGGTTTCCTGTCATCCACCTTCCTTATCTTTACTTCTGTCACTATGTTTTGCTACAGCCACAGCAATTTAGTGCTGAAAGGTGCAAAAACATGCATCACTAGCTGAATGGGCTGCAGAGTGCATCAGTGCTAACAAGGTCTAAGTGCCAAAGTGGTTAACTAGGAGTCTGTCTCGCAGGCGTTCTGGCTCATTTTCTGACTTCTGCCTCTCCTGAGCCAGTCTTCTGCTCATACCTTATTAATTTATATCCATTTTTTTGTCTTGTCAGTCTCTATATCTGGCCAGTGTCTTAGCATGGCAGATTTCACCCTCATCAAAGAAGGATTTTCCATTAATGGGCTCTGACCTTCTCTGACTACTATACTTAAAAACCTTCTATGCTGCAGGGCACACTTCCCGTAATCGCTCCCCTCAGTCCTTGACCACCCCCCCTCCCCACCTCCCCACCCCAGCTTTCCATTTCACCCAGTCTCCTCACCATAATCTTTTTTCTCCTCCATAAACTTTCTGCTCCTCTCACCTTACCCCATCCTCCTCCTCATCCTTCCTGGCTTTCTGCAGAGCTGTTACTGCGACTCCATCGCCGTGGCGACACCATTAGCACAGTACCTCTAAGAGTAGCAACTCCTGACTGTTAAAACCATTACGTTCATTACAGACCAATCAGAGGGGAAGGTGTTATGGCTAATTGATAAGCTGAACAATGCATAAAGTCTTGTCTCTAATTGCCCTGTGGGAAAAGGAGAAAGTGCCCTGGGAGAAAGAGACTGTGAGAGAATGAAAGCGAGAGAGAGTGGGGAAGCAACTGACGTGCTAATTTCAAAACTTTATATTTTTTCTCTGAAATAAATTAGACCTACAATATGTCTTCATCCAAACATGCTGTTTGGATGAATAATGGGATGTTTCTTCTGCATTTGTCATCTGTGATAAGATGATTATCTGAAAGGTCTGTGCACATTGTGAAGAGAGTCTCGCCTTCCCTGCTGGAGTAGGTAATCCTGGGTAATAGCATTATGGACACAGTGTTTTCCTAAAGCCCATGATTATCCACTGCTGTTTGC